GAGCAAAATTTTACATTACCAAATTTTTACTGGTTATGAAAAAATAACCCCGTGATTGATAAAATGAAAAAAAGTAGCCTGAGATTCGAACCGGTAAACTTACATATTACGGCAAACATACTAGAATACTGCGCCAAGCTAGTATTATATATATTGTGACAAGGCAAAATTTGATATTAGTTAAAACGTATCTGTCATATTCGGCGTGACAAACTTTTATATTTAAGCGTTATGACAGGAGAAGAAAAATATTGGGTTGCCCAGTAAGTTCGTGCCGCTTTATAAGAAAAATTGAAACCCTGTTCTCTTAAATTTTTTGAAATGTTTTTAAATTATATTGGTACGACTCTATACCTAAAACGTCTTTTATTATTGGATAAAATTTTAAAAATTAGTTTTTATCTCAACCAATGAAATGAAATTATTCACAATATTATTATATTATTTTTGTGACGTTTGATAATGGTGGAAATCCGAAAATGAATCCACTTCAGCTACAGTCTATTGTAAGTTTTATATCGAAAATCAGAACGAACTTTCCGGACAACCTATAATGTTAATACAAAGTGTCAAATGAATGTAACAGAAGTAGTTTATTCCAAAGTGTATCACAAGTATATAGAGATAGAGTTCAATTTTGTCAAATGTACCGATATTTTTGCGCACCTTGACTGCTTCGTTACTTATGACGCTGTGGCTGCTACGATGTTTATGAGCATCTTGCATGTACTCATATATTTGACGCTGTGTATGTACCGATGTATTTGAGCAGGGTGAATGTATCTATGATTTTGAGGACTTTTGTTGTACCGATATAATTGAATACTTTTGGTGTACCTATATATTTGCATATCTTGTCTGTGACGATCTATATGACGCTGACTGTACTTAATAAACAATCTATGGAACTCGAAGAATCTAGATGAATGAAATTTATTATTTCATCATTTAGTACAAAACTAAATTCCTTAGCATTGTGTTCTTACGTCAATAACGTTTCTGAATGATTTTTGATAATACAATTATTCATTTATTTACTTTATCTCATTGAAAACAGCTGAATAAAGATAAAAGGTTTATTGGTAATAAAGATAAATAAAAACATAATGAAAATTCACATTAAGTCTGTTTATGGTTCTTTTGCAGAATTTATTGGACGCAAAGTGAATAGTCATAAAACAGACAGGCAGATATTTTGCGGTTTATTGAACCATTATCATAATGAATATTATTTGCAATCGTATTTAACCGCACAATGCCAATAAATATTCATAATTACTAATTAATTAAAATTATGAGCAAAAAATTAATAGTATTTGTGGTATATAATGAAATATTATTATATACTTGTCAACTACATAATGCATCCACAACAATAATCGATTAAAAAATTCAATTGATTTAAATAATGTTTAGTTTTTCAACCTCAAACTAACACGACACATATTTAAATATTCACATAAAAATGCAAAATACAAATGTAATAAGATTATTTCTTCCGTACGTAGAAATTTTATTGTTTCCGTCGAAAAAGCAATTCGTAGCGCACCTCGTGCCCACTGAAATTGCAAATGTATCGCATCCCCCGCAACCCCCGCACCCCCCGCACCCCGCGCCCCGCGTCCCGGCGTCCCGGCGTCCCGGTGTCCCGAGAGCGTGGCGAATTCGATTTGTGTAAAATTGCGGCAACAGCACTCCGCCATGTTTCACTGCCGCTGCATTGCCTCCTCGCTTTTATACCAGCTTATATTCACGTAAGAATAGTCCTTTGAAGACAGATGGCATCAGCTAGGTATATACTAGTACTACTAGATATTATGCTGGGCCGATTCTAGGATTTCCGGCGCCCTGGGCGTGATTTTTGCGACGGCCGTTTTTTGATGTGAGGGGAAATAAATATTTCAAAGATTAGGTATCTTAGGGGGCATCGCAAACACTAGAGTAAGATGTGAGGGAGCGCTTGCGAGTACGCAACACAGCTACTGATTATTTGATTACCGCCATCTATTGTCCTAAAAGAAAATCTTAAATGGAATCAACGTATTCGATTCATATTTTTAAATGAACTTATTCTTAGTTTGATACAAAGCCTCGCTAACTTTGTATTTTTTTTAATTAATACAATTCTATGTTGTTAGAGTCAAAAGCCAGCGGCAGTAATTATTCCCAGCCAGTGTTGTGAGAGAAATAAAATCCAGTAAAAGTCTCTGTTCCCCGACACACGTTCAATGCAACGCTAACGACCCCGCAAAAATACGCAGCGAGCGAACTGAGTAATCGGGTTAACACTATTTTATTCACATATGTATTTACAATTCTTACTTTACAATTCTATTTATAGAAATAGAAAATGTTAATAAAACATAAAAAATATTTAAAAAACAAAACATTAAAGTTACGAGTAACTTTCAAGTTGTAGTTAAAGTGCTAGAAATCTCCAAAGAGCAGCCAAATTTGCCAACTTTAAAAGTTCACCAACTGACCTCCGGCTATAAATCTCCCCTAAATAAAAACGAAAAACTCTTAAGGGTTATTTTACTTACAAGAATCTTTAACCTAAAAACTAAAGCCATTTGAATTTATATTGACTCTTTATAAAGTTGTTCAACAACAATAAAACAATGAAAACTCCACACACTTCTGTCAATATGTTTGTGGTTCTTTAGGAAACTGTACAGGGTAGGCAAAAGTTGACTAGTTTTCCTAGCCCTAGTTGATAAAAAAATAATATTTAAAGAATTAGTTTAGCTGTACAGAGGGGGAACGCTGCCAGTATCTTCGGGACCTTGCCTAAAGGGACTCCTTTTGATAACATATTTTAGTTAATTATTCGGTTTTTTTTTAATTTTATTTTATAACATAGATTTGAGACTTTATGTATTCATAGAAATAAGGATGTAAATAAATAAATTAATTCATATTTGAAGTAATTCACTAGATAAAATCTGATAGATCTTATTAATTTAGTAATTTTTTATGAACGAAATACTAACATGAATCTATTTTTATATTATTATAATACTTGCTGTCGCCCGCGACTACATCCGCGTGGAGTTAAAAAAACTAAATGAGTAGCCTATGAGTTCTTACAGACTATGTTCTATATGTATGCCAAATTTCATCAAGATCTGTTGAGCAGTTCGGGCGATACATTCAAAACAAAAATCCATACATTTAAACATTCGCATTTATAATATTAGTGTGAATTTGTAGTCTTAGG